TGCGTGTGTTTGTGTAGAGTCGTCTGCCTAAAGACGTTTTTATTTTATTTTTTATTTTCATCAAATTTCCCGTGGGTCACAACTGCCTGGGCTGCAGTTCATTCCCGCGCCTCACCATACTTTTCGCATATTCTTTCAGTCCTGCATCTCTGCTGTGTTTGTGTGTTGCCCCTACGTGCTTTGCTATGTCTTTCCTCCTCCTCTTCGTGCGTGCCCGCAGCTACACGCACACACGCGGGACTTATTTACTGCGGTGCAAGTGAATGATTTTTTCGTAGTGGTGGCAGTGCCGCGTGTGGCTGCTGCCTCCTTCCATGGCGGTGGGAAGAAGAGGGACACGGTGCAGGCGTGAGTGCGCACAGCGGCTCCCTCTTCTTCGTTGCGAGTGCAGGGCGCTGCGTGTGGGGGTGTTGTTTTGAGGCGCGGCCCCATCAGCTACAACGGCGTGGCACGGAGTGAGCGGTTCCTCTTGTCTGCGGTTGCCGCCGTGGGTGCGCCCTGCTTGTGCGTGGCCGGCGGGGCGGGTGTTCGCGTTTGGGTGTCTCGTGTTGGATGCGGTGCGGTGCGATTATTTACCGCGGCTGTGGAAGTGAACTGGCGGGGGTGGCTGTGTGTGTTGCCTTTTTCCTCCGTCGTGGGTGGCAGCTGGCGTTGCGTCGCTTTGTTGCGCGGTAGGCTGAATCCTTCCCATGCGCGGAATGACGGCACCGAAACTTTACATGTTTGCGAGTGCACTGCTCAGCTGTTTTGGGCGCATGTGCTTACGCGGCTATGTGAGAACATGCGTCTTTGTTTGTGAGTCTGTTTCTCCTGAGCGTTGGCCAACTGCATCGGTTTAGGGCGTAGGGCGTGTTGCGCAACAGCGGGTTATGGGGTTTGCCTGCCGCCGTTCAGTTACGAAAGACACAACAATGCCATTTTCCCTGGGGCTGGTGTGGGTGGATGTGGATTTGGGATCAAGGCGTATCAATGGATAACTTGGCGCGCTTTGCGTGGTGCTGCTGCGTGGCCTGGAGGGCTGGAGCAACCTTTCTCTTTTCCTTTTTTGCCATCTTTTCACCACGGCAGCGGTAAGCAAGAGGTCTTGGCTCGCCATTTTTTTTTAAATTTTTGGGATGATATGGGGAGTTGGGGAGCCTAAGGGCTGCAGGGGCGCCTCGTGGAGTTAAACGCACCCCGAGACCAAGGCGCCCTGTCCGGAGAGGGGCGTACGGCGGCGGGGAGACGCGTCCTGGAAGGGTTCGCGCCGGCCACGCCGAAGAGAAACCCCGGACGGCTCGTGGCGCCCCACCCGCTTCCCCAAGGCACCCGACATACGTGGCTGGCCGAGACGCAGGGCCCGTGGTTGCTCGCGAATGGGGGGCGCCACTTCGAGTTTCCGGAGGAGGAAGTGGCCTCCGTCGGCGAGGCCACATCGTCCACGCCCGCCGAAGGAAGCTCTTGGAGGCGCCTTATTTTTCTCTGCAAACATAACCATTCTACCTCCGCACGCGTGGCTCCATCGCCCTTCCCGGGGTTCAGTTGCGTCATCTTCCCCTTCCTGGGTGGGGACGGGGGCTGAAACCGAACTCCCTCGCCGGAGTCGTCTCCCCTCGGAACGGCGTTGTGGGCGGAGGAGGTGCGAGGCGCGATTTTTGAGGCATCACTTGCTAACGGCGAGACTGCGGAAGAAGCGGAAGAAGTCGAATCAAAACGAGAAAGCTCAGTAAAGCCGAGGACCGGGGGCGCTCCCCATCCGGCGGGCCAGCGCCACCATCTATATCGTTGCTGGCCGGGGCGGAGCGGGGGCTTGGAAGACCGAACGAGCTGCAGAGGAACCGAGCCAGTGACCGACTCGAGTATGGCTCTGCTACCTTCAATCCCTCAAAGCAAAACTTCGCTCGCCGGGCCGCTCGGGCCGGACAGGAGGGAACGTGCTACGGCGCCTTCAAACAACGTTTGCAAACAACGGCGTGCGTCTCCGCGTTGCTCTTTCCTTGTCGCAGAGCCCACCGGCACCAATGCCTTGCTTTTGCCTGGAGATGGGGGCGAGGGGAAGTGCAGACACCGCTCATCTCGCTGAGGAGTCCTCGACGCGAGTTCCTC